AAATTTAAATTTTTTGACATTTTATGAGCCAACTTTCACGGTTTGCATACGCTAGGGAAGAATGTGTACATGAATTGTTTTATATAATTTGAATTGCATAACAAAATACGATTTCAATGACCCTAAGAACGTTTAAAAATATTAATCTTTGCCAGAGAAATAAAAAAAATAGTAAAAACATTGAAAATTGGGTTTTTCTTAGATATCTAATTGAAAAATTAACATATTCTCTTTGTCAAGGTGTCATTTCTTTCAGAATTTTATTAGCTTTAATAAAATAAAGAGGAAAAAATTTTAGTTTTAATATTTTTGAAGATTTGAACAGTTTTATAGTTGTTGAAAAAGCAGAGTTCGCACAATTTCGGACGGTAGTGTAGCAAGAACCAATAATAATAAAGCATTTTGGCGATTATTCGGCCGCGCGAAATATTTTTTAACCATTAAAATGCACTTGGGGAATACTTTAGCAAAATGTTCATTGAATCGTAAAGTCCAACCATTTTTCAATTTTGACGTATTTGTCCAAAAATCAGTCCAAAAGGAAACAGTCAATAAAAGTTTCTCATTTCCACTTTTTTTATATGAAATTGTCTGTTTCATTTCGATAATTTTTTCATTCTCTTCACTTTCGACAATTAGAAATTCAATTTTTCGTGAGTTTTTTTCAACAGTTGCAGTAAGTGGTGATTCTAACACATTTTCTCTTTCCTTTTCCATTATTGGTTTTATTTCATATGGGTTATCATTCGTTTTGTTTTCAATCCTTTCAGAAATTTCGAAGAATGTAATCTTTTCATTGCCAGTAACTTTGTAAGAAATTGTTTTCTTTTCTCCAGCAAAAATTTCATGCTGTTCATTATTAACGTTGCTCCGCATTGTTGAAGAGGAAAAACTTACATTGTTATCAAAATTAAAATCTTCATTATCAATGTTTATCGTATTCAGTGGTAATTCCAATACATTTTCTATTTCATTTTCCACTTTTGGCTTTATTTCATACAGGTTGTCATTCGTTTCGTTTTTGTTGTTTAATTTCTCCACAAGTTCGATAGAATCTGTTAGATCTTCCATGCATATCTCTGCAGACTGACCCAATCGATTTGCAGTGTCTGTCATAACTGTAAGAGATTTTGCACATTCATTTTTAGATGCAGTTAGTCGATCCTCGTTTAAAATAGGAGAGAACCTATTTTCATTTGTATAATCTGAATCTAAAGACCTGACAGTTGTAATTGTCGATGTTGCTCTTGTGGATTTTTGAAGATTTTCTTGTACGCCAAAGATAACTCTTTGTTTTACATCCTCGAAGTGTCGTAAATATAATAGGTGACATTTTGGTATATATTTTTTATTCACAGGACTGGTAAAGTTTTTTAGGACAATTTTACATAACTTAAACCACTCACCATTTTCATTAACACTTCTATTTTTCAGTCGATTGCACAACTCTAAACATTCTCTTTCATTCAATGAATTTTTATCATTTTCAGATACGATATACTCTAAGAGAGATATTTCTAAATTATCTACAGTAATCTTCATGATTTAAATTCTTTAAATTGAACACACGGGATCAATTAAATTTTATAAATTTAACGGTTAAAAAGTTATAGTTAACTAATTATAATTATTTATGACATCTTGCAAAATAAACAAAGTCACAAAATTAAAGAATAAAACATTACTAACATCAAGAACCAGCAAAGAATGGAGTTTTTTAAAAACTCTCCATCTCAAATTTTTAGTTCAAACAAAGAAAAAGAATTCAGCGATTTCATAAATTTCAAAATAGATCAATTCGCAAGATTTAAAAAAATCACACTGAAAATTGAATTATTTTCAAACACACAATACTTCAGATTTTTCAATATCACAAAACAGAAAACATTTACTTCACTTTCTGCAAATCATAAGTGTAATAAACGCAAAGAACAGCAGTATCTAAGCTTGCGAATCAGGTCATGACACAAGATTAAAAAAATGAAAATTTTATTATTTTTTAAAACACAATACTTTAGAGATCTTTTAATCTCACAAAATGGAAAACTTTTATTTTTTTCCTCGAATTTTTCGTCTATTGAACGGAAAGAGAACAACAGTTTGAAGTTTTGCAAAATAGGTTAAGTCGCAAAATTAAAAAAATTGATAATTTAATTATTTTTGTATATTTTTTTTCATGTCAAAATTCTAAATTTAATTAAAACAAATAATTCAATGATTTCTAAACATGGTGTCCATGATGGATCACAAGAACAAAAAATGAAAAAATATATTTTTAAATATTCAATATTTTAGAAATGTTTATAATCTTTCTAAATGTAAAAATTTACCTTATTTCTTATTCTGTAAAATCCGAAAAAATATTTTTGGATTATTTCACAAAAGTGAAATAGATAATACTTTCACCAGGTTATTCTCCTCTCATTAGATGTAAAGTACATTTACCATAATTTTTATTATTTTAATTGGATTGTGTAAAATGTCACTTGACAAAAGTGACAATCGTCAACACTTCGGGTAACCTACAATTGTAAGGAAGTATGAAACAAATGAGCATCAGAATTTTACGTTATTTCATATTGAGAAATTAAGCCTTGTGTACATGGTACAATCTGTTTTATGTTTTGAGTGAGAAAGATTCATTATGGTGAAATCACATACAGGCGTAAAGCATCCGTATATTAAAAACCTGGTATCAATGATATACCACAATTATTTACTATTGCTTTACTTAGTCTAGCAAAAACTTCTAGTTTTAAAAATCATGAAATTTTTCCAAAAAATGAATTGATCTCTGGTTAAAATATCGGACTGATTTCTGACTAATCTGCGATTAGTCTAAAACATTACGGTTTGTGGTCAGGTTTTTGTCAACCGTAATTGGTCCGGTTAAGTCAGAACACAATAAAGTACAATTTCGGTGAGTGTCGGATCGCGATATGTGTCGGATTTTTTCCACGCCTATAATCTTGTCAAGTGTCGGGTGTCATTCTCTTACTTTTTACGTGGGCATCGAAAATCAGCGCCCTATAAAAACGTTTCAAATATGTACGTTAATAAAATAAAAATAATGTTTTTAATTATGAATTTGAAGTAGGTAAATTGATTTTTAATTTAATTATATATTAAATTATTGTTTAATCTTTTATATCCGAGAAGAATTATACATTGTATATTAATAAGCTTTGGAAGACACCTTGATACGGCACTATCTGCCACCCCACCACAACTCAAGGGGCAATCCGAAATGTATCGAATTTTGTGGTCCCGACTACCCGACACTTACCGAAATTGTACTGTACTGTTTATGAATACCTGGTGAATACAAATATTGTTTGATCTAATCCGGAATTAGTCCGATTGTACGCTTACGATTATTTAAATTCAAATATTTAAAAATAATATTTTAAAGGGGTTGGCTATATTTTTTGTGAAATCTTCACGTGAAATTAAATATGTGAATTTTTGCGATTAAAATACAATAAAAACATTGCAAGTAGAAATAAATTTAAGTTTTATTTTTTTCAAAAAAAAGTTTTATATAAAATAAAACCCAAGTAGCACGATATATCAACCAGATGTCACGGTGATATCACCGGGGAATGTCACCGTGACATCAGGAAAATGTCAAAATGTCCGCCTTACGGTGATATCACACGGTGACATCGAGGTGATATCATGGTGACATCAAGGTGATATCACAGTCATATCATGGTGATATCACCGTGATATCATGTTGATATTTTACAGGGACTTAAAATTTTTAATAATTTAAAAAATAATAATAAATAAAAAAAATAAAATAATAATTTTTTAAAAATTTTAAGTCCCTGTGAAATATCAACATGACATTACGGTGATATCACCATGATATCACTGTGATATAACTGTGATATCACCTTGATGTCACCATGATATCACCTCGATGTCACCGTGTGATATCACCGTAAGGCGGACATTTTGACATTTTCCTGATGTCACGGTGACATTCCCCGGTGATATCACCGTGACATCTGGTTGATATATCGTGCTACTTGGCAGTGGCGTAGCTGTAGGTGTGCGAAGTGTGCGGTCGCACAGGGCCTCGCAAGCCTAGGGGCCTCAGAATCGACTGTGGAGTTGGGAAAATTTTGAAACACTTAAAAAATAAATTTGATAAAAATTGGTCAATTTTCACTTTAATATAATATAAAATGGAAGCAAAATAAAATTGTAATTTGTTTAAATATTATCGGAATATTGAATTACGAATAATCGATTTTTTACATCGATATTATCAATATTATTGTATATCGATACTGATATTCGATATACAACTGTAAACAAAGAAAGCTGCTTGCTGTTGCAGTACATAACAACAGCAATTAATTTCAGCTTTATATGAATACATAAGTATTTCGTGATTTATTTATTATTCTATTACTGCATGGAGTTTTTCGTTAATTGTACCAATCGTATTGGTTGTGTTTTTATATAGCGTAAGTTTTGAAAATAGCTGGAATGTCATTGCGTCCATAGCTTTTCTAACCTATAAATATTCTTGTTGTTTCTCGCGTAGTGTTAAAAATGTTTTATTTATCGTAAATTTTAGTTTGCCATTCGTGTCGACATGTCACCACTTAAAATTATATATTCTGAAAGATTAGTAAATTGATTAATTTTTCACTATTTTGAGCAAATTAATTTTTGAAAAATCATGATGTATGTAAAAGGTTTTTTCAGATTTTTTATGTTAATCATATTAAGTTTAGACTGGACAGAATACTATATTAGTATTTTATATTTTGTAAATTATTTAGTAATAAAATCGAACATAACCTATAAGATTACTGAATTAAATGCATCGATTTCACGGAGGTCTATTATTAATTTTTTTTTAAATTGTGTTTTTGTATAATGTAACCCATAAAGTAATTTCATTATATTTTTTTGATATATAGGTACTTTTAAAATGAGTGATAATTACATAAAAAATATGTCTATAGGTTTTTTATATAATTATGTCGGGTCCGAGTAGAAAATCAGATGCAGTCAGAAAATGGGAATCAGGAGCATCGAAAAGAAAAAGAAAAGCTGCCGAGGCATTGTCAAATGAAGCCATGAGTTCTACTATGATTAAATTTCTTAAAAAATCTTCGAATGATTCAACTGTAAACTCCGATGAATCTGTTTCCCAAAATATAGTACAAGAAAATAATGTATCAAAAAATATAACTGAAGAAGTTTTTTCAACTGAAATGGAAAATAAGTCTGATTCTGAATATCGTATGATGAATGATCCTAGTGAAAATGAAAATGTTTTAGAAGAGATTGATTTTACTGAGAATAAAAGTGATGAAAATAAAGAACCTAATTCAAATGTTGCTTTACCAGAGTCATTGATTAGTACAGATCCAGGCAAGTGGCCATTTTTTATTATGGTCTCGCACCGTCTCTACTTAATTGAAATTGAGCCTTATAAAAATTCAGAAATTCAAGATGATTATTATCCCAAAGATATTGACAAAAGACATTTTTCTAATTCTTATTATGTTAGAAAATTAAGTAATGGCGAATCTCAACAGCGCAAGTGGCTAGTTTATTCAGAATCTCAAAACAAAGTCTATTGCTTTCCTTGTAAACTTTTTTCTAATTCGCAAACACATGTGGTACGTGAAGGATGTGATGATTGGAGACATTTGAGCAACATTTTAAAAAAGCATGAAAACAATCAGGAACACATGTTGTGCATGTTTAAATGGATGGAATTTCATAAAGCAATCAAACTCGGGAAAACAATTGATATGGAAAATGAAAGATTGCTGCAAGAATCTCAGAAATATTGGTACAATGTGTTTCAAAGATTGGTAGATGTAATAAATTTTTTGGCCTCACATAACCTGGCATTTAGAGGTCACAGAGAGTCTAAATATGATCACGTATTAAGCGAGCATTTGCAAAACTTTAATGAAAAAAAAATTAGACAAAGTTATATGAGTCCTGAGATTCAAAATGAATTGATCACATTAATGTCTAAATCATTAATTGATAAAGTAATTGAAAAAGTAAAACAAGCCAAATATTTCGCATTTATGCTCGATTGCACTAGAGACGTAAGTCGAACTGAACAAATGTCCATTATTTTAAGATTTTGCAATGCTTTGACTGGCGAACTAGAAGAACATTTTATTGGATTTATAGCAGCATCAGAAACAACGGGGGAATTTATAACAAAGTTAGTACTAAACGAACTGGAAAAGCATGGTTTAGATATTCAAAACTGTCGTGGTCAAGGATATGATAATGGTGCGAATATGGTGGGTATTAATAAAGGAATATTAAACATAAATCCAAGAGCATTCTTTACACCATGTGGTTGTCATAGTTGGAACCTGATACTAGTTGATGCAGCCAAATCATCTTCGACTGCAACTACATTTTTTGGTTATATACAAAAAATTTATTTGTTATTTTCATTATCTAGTAAACGCTGGGAGCTACTGAAAGATAAATTAAAGTTAACATTAAAATCTTTGTCTGATACGCGATGGGAAAGTAGAATTTCTGCCGTTAAAGCGATCATTTTACAATTTGATAAGATCATTGATTGTATAATTGAGTTGAAAGATCAAACAAAAGAAGCGGATGTCTTGTGTGATTGTGAGGGCGTTTTAAAAGAAATGCTCACTTTTGAATTTATTGTTTCAATCCATGTTTGGTATGAAGTATTACTGCGTGTGAACAATATAAGCAAAATTTGGCAATCAGTCCAAATTAATTTGAATGTGGATGTTGATTATTTACGAGATTTTAAGGATTGGCTCCAAGAATATCGCAATTCTGGCTACGAGAGAACCCTTGCTGAAGCTCGACAATTTAGAGAAAAAAGTGCTTATGAAATCTCACCTGATTTTTAAAAGAAAAGAATCGCTAGAAAGAAAAGAATGTTTGATTACGAACACGTCGATGAACCTGTACAATCTGCTGAAAAAGAATTCGAAATAAACTTCTTTAATGCAATGATTGACCGAATTGCACAAGATATCGAATGGAGATTTAATGCCCTAAATGAATACCACGAACAATTTGGTTTCATTTACAATATAAATTGCTTAAAATCTTTATCAAAAGAAGACCTTTTGAAGCATTGCAGTAATTTAGGAGAAGTTCTTCGAGAAGGTGAGAATAGTGATATACAATCACATGAACTATATGAAGAACTTCAAATTATACAGTCAAGTTTGCCCAAAGACATTATTGATGGTAAACAACTTCTTCAGTATATTGTGGAAAACAATTTACAGGAAATATACCCAAACAGTTACATAACTATCAGAATTTTGCTTACTATTCCAGTCAACACAGCTTCAGCAGAGAGAAGTTTTTCAAAGTTAAAATTGATAAAGAATTTTTTGCGAAACACAATGACCCAAGAACGACTTTCAGGATTAGCAGTTTTATCCATTGAAAGCGAAATAGCGTCCACTTTAAGTCATCAAGAAATCCTCAAAAATTTTATTGCAAAAAAAAGTCGAATTTTACCTTACTGTAAGAAGTAGTGATAAGTGTAACTTCACTTAAAATGTTGTAAAATATATTATTTATAACAAAGTGTATTCATAATGTGAATGACATATACGTAAATTTTTTATATTGTTTTTTAGCAAAGATGTCAACTTTCGTTACTATAGTGACGCAATTTGAAAAAAAAATTAAAAGTTGCCAACCTAAAAAAAATATATTTAAAAATTGACCTATAAATATAATTGAAAAAAGGTACATTTATTTATTTATTAAAATGAATTTTGACCAAACAAAATTTTTAGAATTGATAAATACGATGAAAAATTTATGTAAAGAGTACGATGGAGGAATTGAAAAATGGTAATAAAATAATCCAAATTAACATCAAACCAATGTAACACTCGCTTGCTTGCAAAATAATAATGATAAAACTGAAAGTTTCAGAGATAAAAGATGATAAAAAAACGAATATAATGCAAATTCTCATAAAGTAGTACAAGATGATCAATCTATGAGGGAATCCCTAGGAAATAAAAATGAAAATAATAAAAAAATCGGAAAAAATTTTTATAAATTGTTTTTTTTTCATGATGAATTAAATAAATTTAACTAATGAAATTAAGGGAATTATGAGAAGTTGTAGTTAACAATTTGAATTTTCCCGCCAGAAGATCATGCGCATTCATATTCGCGCACTTCTACCGTGTGTGGTCGGTATAATAAGAGTTCTTGTCACTTTTAAAAAAAATGTTGTTTTTTAATTAAATTGCAATCATTATGAACTGTACTATTAAATAATAAAATAATTTAATAAAATTTGCAAATTTCTATGAAATATAAATTATTTCTTCACACAGTTTACACTAATTTCTTGAAAATATGGTGAAAACTGACGAGTTAAAATCTACATATACGTACCACTTGCACATATCAAGTGATTATTTATTATTTATCACTTTAATAATTGAAATTCTTGCAAAAATTAACTCTATAAATGTTCATTTACCCTCCCAATTTTTATTTTTAAAAAATTTCATCAATTGAAAGCTTTTTTTGATAATTTCTCAAAATCAACTTAGATTCGCCCCAGCTGAGTCGAACTTAGGTAAATCAAATACGCCAGGGGTAAAAATTTGGCACACTTAGGTGTGCCAAATTTGAGTTATTTATGTCAAAAGATGTGGCCGCTAGGGGGGGTAAATAGTAATTTTTAGGCATTTTCCGTAAATATTCTTCGTTTTACCAAGACAACGCTATGATAATCAATTCCAATCAAGTTCGCTATATTTTTCCTGTAATCTACACGCGAAAATACATATGTGTACTAAATTTCAGCCCTCCAGATAAATTCATGTAGCCGCTAAGGGGATGAGTCCACGATTTTGAAAAAACCGATTTACATTTATTTATTTCTTAAAACCCTGGCGGATCTCGTAATCGGAATGTACGCTGAATTCGTCCTACATTCGTTACACATTGGTTAAACATTTAGTTTGAGTGAAAATTGTGTAGAAACTGAGTGGAAACTGTGGAAAAGTGTAATTGAATTGAATAATAAAAGTATTTAGTGATAGATTTGTGCTGTATTTGTGATAAATTAACGTGTTATTATTAAATAACTAAAGTTTAAAGTGTAAAATGTTCGCGTAAGTGAGTTTGACAGGCTAGGGAATTTTCTAGTCACATTCAAATTGATAGTCGATAAAGAAGTTGAGCCGCCGACTTTGCACGGTATGTGGCAGCATTCATACTTTCTCCTTTTTAAAAATTCTCTTTTTTAATTGTAAATAGAAAAATTAATTAATTAATAAGTTATATAGTTTCTATGTTGTCATTTTTTTTAACAATTGAATTTTTGAAGATTGTTTAATGAGATAAATTAAACTTGTATAATCGATGCAAATTGTTGTTTTTAAAATACTTTTAAATAAATCTTTTCTTTTAATTACATTTATATTAAAAAATATTTTAATTTATTGAACAATTTGTATAAATGTACCAAAAAATTTATTGTTAAATTATTATATTATTATTAAATTTAATCCTTTTATAACAAATTATTATTTTTTAAACTACAAATGCATTTAATAAGAAAATTAAAATAAATAATAATTTAATAAATTTATTTTAAAAAATTTTTTTAATAATATTAGTTAAAAACTAAATTTAACAAAAAATGGTGCTCAAAAGTACGGGTGCGGAGTTGAGTGAAAAATAAAAAACTCAAATTTTATTTTTATTTATTTATTTACAATGTGATTAAAGAAAGAAATATATATGTATTATTAAAAGTTTATTTTTTAAGTTGAAAAACCAATACGATATAATAAAAATCTCTCTTGTAAGAAGAACGCACATTAGAAAATTTTCATACCATTCTCAGTTCCGTGGCGTTTCAAAATTGTGTCATGTTTAATAAATAGAATCAGTTTAAAAATATAACTGTATTTCAATTATTTTATTTGATGAAACAGTTAAAAATCGTCACATTTATTTTACAATATTTTTTTATTTTATTTGAAAATTAATTTCCTTTTTATGTTATAAGTATTGATAGCAATGAAAAATAGAATTGCATTTGTAGCAATTAAAAATTTAACCAATCCACATTACTTCTAATTCACAAGCACACTTTTACACGGAAGTTTTTTCAGAATTTTAATTTTATAATCTATCTTAAATATGCAAATATTTACAGTCATTTATACACAAACTGAAATTTACAGCGTCAATTAAATAATATTAATGTAAATTAACTTAAAAAACACAAATATATTGAACATAAGTCTTGAAACTTATATTGAGTGTCATTTTAAATTGGAATCTTTTCCTATTCATTTATAACTTTGATCTTTTATGATCTTTCTGTTTTCATCAATTTAAGTTGTTTCACAAATTTAAATTTTACATTAACTTGGCAGAGAAATAATTTACTGCAGATTAAAATTTTTTATAAAAACAAAAACGCTAAAACGATACAAAATTCGCATTGAAGTTAATTTAAAACGGAATAATCCACCATCCTTAATTTCAAATGAAAATTTTAAGAATTTCAATTTTATTATGTAGTGAATTCTGCGTAAAATTTTCACTCAAAATTTTTTTTAATGAAACAAGTTTTTTTTAATTCTACAGTTAAAATAAAGAAACACGAGTTTTTAAATTTATTATTTTATGTAAATTACAGAAAATAGTTTTTTTTAAATTTAACTTTTTTCGGAGCAGGACACTTTAAAAACACGTTTTTCTCTCTTATAATAGAAGATGAAAAATAATGTAATGTATGAAAATTATTTGTATTTTCTTGAATATTTCAAATCTATGTTGTAAAAAAAATAAAGTTACTTATACGAAAGAACGAAAAAAAATGAAATTGTTTTTATAAAAAGTAACTTCTCAAAAGCGAAGTAATCGATTTTTGATTCTTTTCTGTTATTATAATCAATAATAAATAAAGTGATTCATCTATTTTATGCGAAAATGATATTCTTTACCTTTAAAATACTATTGACAATATACTAGTTACACTTATAGATTTTCGTACATTTAATTTTTAATAATTATAACCACTTTTCCAAAATATATTATGTAAACCAATGTATTTAATAAAAAATTTCCAGGAAATATTTTAACGGTGAAGAACACAGCTTTTACAAAAACGACAAAAATTTATTTATTTATCAAAAATTATAATTAAAAAAAAATAAATAAAAAATTGATAAGTTCGCTTTTGAGAGCAAGTCACTTTTTAAACGCAAAAAATTCCTAAATGAAGTTAAATTTGAAAAAAATCACAACTTCCGTAATTTTTTGTCAAAGAATAAAATAAAAAAATAATATTTTTCATTATTTATTATTAATATAATATAATAATAATAAATAAATAAAATTCTTTATTTTTTATGTAGAATTCTAAAAAAATTGTTCCAATAAAAAAATTTTTGGATCAAAAATTTACTAAGAGTGCCTCACATGTAAAACTGTACAAATTCAACTTGTAGTACTACATTTAAAAATTTTTGGTAGTAAACCGTGTTAAAATAAATCTTTCTGATATTTCGATATTTTATATTACATTGTTTTGCTTTCCATTTTGAACATAATCAGCCAAACATTTGTTGATATAAATTTTTTTATAAATCTATTAATATACATTGATAGTACTTTACTATCACGAGTTAAAAATTCGCGATCTAATATTTTTTCAATAATTGACTTACACTTTTTGACGTTTCAACATTATTGGACTATGGCTATTTCTTGAAAAGTGATTTTTTCATTTAGCTTTAAAAGCTGAACTTGACTTTTTTCATTCTTCGTGACGGAAAGAAAAATTAAATTTTTAAAGGATGATTGAATTTATTAATAATATTGGCTTGCTCGAAGTATGTTTTGTACTTCTATCAGATGAAGAAATTACTTCGTGGTTGGTAAGTTGTCGAATGATGCTTTGTTGGGACTCTGCTTTGTCTCATTAGCGTTGGAGCAGCAATTGGAGAATTTTCTTAGATTTTCCTAAAATTCATAAACAAGCCGTCATTAAGAAAAGGACTTTTTGTGTTTGATATTTAATTTTAAAATAAAGTAACTTAAATTTTTTATTGTATATTTTCTATTATGTTTTTTATGTCGTCACAATTATTTGAAGAAAAAACCGTATATACCTTTTTCCTATGGACGCATTCCTGTTTCCTTGGGATCGTTATTACGAATACAATGATTTCCAACAACATTTTCAACATTCTTTTGTTGTGGTATTGTTTTTCATGGTATACTTGTAAATCACTACATTTTTTCCCATTGTTCAAGACTTAAGGAACTCTCTGAAATGAACTAGGTTTTTAAACAAATAATTAATTTATTTACTTGGGAGGGTTGTGCTGATTAATCAGGATGGTAAGACCTGATATTTTTATTTTGTAGGATCGTTGTCACTTTATAAAGACTATGGGTCTTGCGTTAATAAAAGACAAATATTCCCTTTTATAATAGTTTATTATAATTATGATTTAATAAAATAGGTTACATGTATGAT